AAAAGAGTTCCAGAAACTGTGCCAGTCTTTTCTAGAGTCTTGAATCTCTGGAGGAAGAGAGGAGGGTATTTTTTCTATAGGTTCTTTTTCCTAGCAAAGTTTTCTTGCCTTTGACTTTGTAGGTAGGTATTTCTTGTATTTACTTGCAGAAATACAGGAAGTTTATGTCAAAGAGAAAAAGAAACAAGTAGGAGAGACTATTGTCTCTTGGTATGAGTGTTGTTAATAAAAGTGTATAGACTTTATTACAAGGAAATATAAAATTTCCTAGGAACGTCTGTTTTTTGTGTTGGCAAAAGGATCAGTGGAAAGAGATTACTAGATGCATCAATTATATTTTTTATTTTTTTTTATATAAATAGAATAATTATATATTTTGTGTACAGGAGGAAAAAATGATAAAAAAATTGTAGGAAAGTTGTAAAGAAAATGGAGAGAAACTTGTAAGATAATTAAAGGTAGAATTGGTAGAATTAGAAGTATAATAATATTTTAATAATAAATAGTTCTTTACAAATTACTACTATTATATTTGTTTTCATATAATTATAATTGTTATGTCACTTGTTTTATGATCTTTGAAACCTCAAGTATCTTCTCTATAAACTATAGTATACCACATTGGCCTCTGCCATTCAAAGTGTTTCCATACTATCAGTTTTCCATCCTATACTGATCTTTGAGATTAGATTGATATATAACAATATATTTATTATTTATAATATTTTATTTATTAGTTATTAATTATAAGTAAAATTAGAAAAATAATTTATTTTGTTTTTTTTTTTTTGAATTAGGTCATATATAAAAATAAATTCTAAAATTATTTTAACAAAAAATTTTACAAATTAATAATATTCTTTTTAATTAATTTACTTATTAGTTTAATAAGAACAATTTAAAAATTCATTTGAATTTAATAACTTAAATTGCAAAAAATCTTTATAAAAAATATATATGTATATACAGTATATTGATTTGATATTTTTTTTTAAAAAAACTTTTTTAATAATAAGGCATATTTGAATCATATTCTCATTTTAATTTAGAAACAATTTTACACGCTTGTAATATTTAAGATTAGAAATATTATGAACAAGATATTGTTTATTATTAATAAAATAAAATCTTATTAAATTAAAACATCAATAAAAATAAAAACCATTATATTATTTAAATAAAAAAAAAGATATAATAATTATGGTCTTTATTAATTTTTCGTATATTTTTATTAGCTATTTATTTTTATTTTTATTTAATAGAGCTTATATGTAATTTCTTAATATAAATATATTTATTAAACATAAAACAACATTTTTTTTCATATCCAAACTTATTTATTCTTTTTACTTTTTTAAAAATCAAAAACATCTGAACTTTTAATAACAAGAAAAAATTTTAAGAATAATATTTTTAATTTTAATATGTATTTTGAAAAAAAATATACAGCTGAATTGTCTTAAGATTATTATTAATTAATATCAAAATCACGAGATTATTTAATTATTAGAGTTCATCTCTTACTTGAATCAACAATCATCGTTTGAAAATAATAATTTTACATTTCGGTTTTACTTTATATTCTCCTGAAGCTACAAACTTCTAAAAGTGAACTCTTAATACATTCAGAGCGACAAATTTTATGAATATCAACGCAATATAATATCATCTAGACGCTCCATATCATTCACGTTCTACTATTATATATCAGATCGAGACTCTTTCCCAAAAATACCTCGGTTACGCATTATTTATTCACTAAATAAACTGATTATGCATAAATGGAGTTTTTTTCACGTACTTCCGATAACACTAAGGAATTATCCTGTTTCGTACTCATGTTAATGGCGCAGTTAAATAGTTAATAAAAAGAAGCAAAAAAATCCACGAACTTACTTCACCTATTGAAGACATTACCTGTTGATCTATCATTGTTTTAACACTTGAAAGACTTCATAATCCTCAATCAAGAATTTTGTGGTATCCAGTATTTTATGCTCATAATCATTTGGCCTGCAAACGCCATCGAGAAAATGGAGATCTCCCACTCCAAATCCAATCCATTGTTTGGAGATTGTGTCACGAATTGCGCACGTTTTATTCTTCACACGACTTAGTATAGGTTTATGATGCTCTCCAATGGAAAATATAAAAGTAAAACCGAAATGTAAAATTATTATTTTCAAACGATG